CAATGTCGATCAATTAGGAATGAACTGATCATACACAAAGTGGTAACAAGGGATCAGTCATTTTTAAGGATCTATTGGATTAAAGTGATAATTATAAGCTTCTAAAGGATAAGAATTGATCACAAAAGTTCTTGACTTTGAGAAAGCGTTTTACTTGCTTCATCAAAGGTAGAAATATTAGTACTGATATCACTCAAAGCAGTAATGACTCATCACATTCATCTTTAAGCTTCAATTCTGTAGAGTTCTTAACGTGTTGCTTGGAGCCACTTACATAGTCACATTGTTTTTACTTTTTAGAATACAATTCAGATTAAGGGGAATAGAAGGCAAACAACTGCTAATTCATAAATGGTGTTTCCTGTTGACTGCGACACACTGAATTGCCAGTCAGGGACATATAGACCATAACAACCCACAATACATAGCAAACAATAGGAGCATGATACACCTAAAAATGAAGTAAAATGTTGTTAGGTAAAATTAGAGACAATGATAACCATAGAGGACAAGAAACAACACTATATAAAAGGAAGATCAATAATAAGACTGTCAATATCATTGCAGTTGGACTCACTAGTTTTCCAATAAAATCACACAACTTTCTCCTCTTTTGCCTATTTAATCTACCTGTTAATAACCAATGAGGCCTAGTCCAAATAGTTAGGTTGAGACCTTGTACCAACATGTCATGGGTTTGACGTCCACCAGCGACAATCTAGAATTTTATCTGACTTAAAGAGGATAGATACCAACTTATGAGAAGTTGACAAGACACTTTTGGTTCCACTAAGGAAAAAAACTGGGCCACGACTAAGATTTTTCTTGGTACAATAAGAAATAGTTAAACCACTCGATTTATCTGACTACGTTCCATTTATCAAAAGGAAAAAGAAAATCAACGTTGTTAAGATACTTGATCTATATTCTTCCTTTTCAATTTCCAAAGCAATACTCCTAATAATTGCACAATTCAAACAAAAAGATCTACCTGAAAATCAGGGATGTAGTTATCTTACCATTGCCAAATATAATTTTTGAATAAGGCAACTCTTTTCATCCCTTGACATGGAAGCCATATCTGGCACAAGCTGATGTAATATATCCAACAACTATTCTCTGCATAAATGAAAAGAAATGTATAATATTCTGAACAAGTAATTGAAATGAACAAGTTACATGCATAAGTTCTTATAATAATCAGGAAACCAGGTTAGGATGCTACTCTTGAAGAATCAGCATCTATCACAAAAATAGCTAAATAGGAAGTTAATCCATATAGGAGTTTTCACCAAAACTAAAAAGAACAACAAGAGCAATACTTCACAGGCTAAAGCAGAGGAACTAGGGGTACAAGCGAAAACAGTCTTTAGAAGTCTAACTAAGGAAGACTTACCAACCACTTAGGAAGGATAAGAAACGTAGCTACAAAGAAAAAGAAGTCACTGGAGACAATGCGACGACACTCATCTCAACTGGCAATGCTAGTTTTATGAAACAACATTAATCTTGTAGCTAATCTAGTCATATCATACCAGGGTAGCAAAAAAGCAAAAAAAATAATATCAGAGTTACCAGCAAAATTCCCATCCATCTTATTCTTTCAGTATCTACACCATAGGTTAAACCAGTTATTCCATGCAAGTAACCCCCTGAAACGAAACAAATGTGGAATCAGTAACAACAAGTTTAGATATCTCATAAAATAAAATGATATACTATGAACAAAATCAGAAGACAACATTAGTGTTACAATCTCGTAAATATTCTAGGATCTTGTAAATATAGTATAGCTTGATTTACGCCTAAATTATGTATTTCGATTCTCTTTTTTTGTTTCTTAGAATATGTACACTTAGCTATTTAAACCCCAACGGCTTGAAAGAATAATTAAGTTGAGATTCTCTAGATTCTCTTTTCGTTTGTCTTACCTTCGGACATGATACAAGAACCAACGTAAAACTTAATCTTCTGTGCAACTACCAATGGAGAAGAAATTCATGTTTACTGTGCATCATTCCACTGACTGTGTAACAAATAGTCAGAATTTTGAAATTGGAAAAAAAATAATTAAATAGAAAAAAATATAATTTTTTTAAAAAGAAAACCACCAAACACGATTCCGCTTGCAACATATAACTTTCAAATATAAAATAATAGTTTTCAAAAAGAAAATTTTAATATTTTGTATGTTGAAATTTTCTGGAAAAAATAGTTTAATAGGAAAAAAATATAAAAAATAGAAAAACTCCATCATACACATTTCAACTAGCACAAATAACTCACATAAAAAAAATAGTTTTCAACAAAATTATTTTTTTTTATATCAAAACTTTCAAAAATATAATTGATAACATTAGATAATGTCATGTGGGCATGTAGCTTGGGTGATGTGAAGGGCCTGCCATTCTGCGCAGGCCTCGGATGATGTAACTTTTTGGACATTCGTAGGGCTCTTTCGATGTCGCCTAACAAATTTGTGCAGTGGCCTGGCCTTGTGCGCAAGAATCGATAGATTTCTCTTTCGCAAATGTGTGAACAGGCTTGCCCATGTTTGTAGGCCTCATCCGATGTCGCCTAACCGATGTGTGCAAGGGTTTGCCGATGTCGCTTGGGTGATGCGCGTAGGGACTTGCCATTGTCACTTAAGCGATGCACGCAGGGGCATGCATTTGTACGCAGGCCTCGGTTGATGTGCGTAGGGGTACTTCGCCATGTATTTGGAAACCCCTTATTTGCCAATAGAAATGTTGGTCTACTTCCACACCATATATATCGTATAACCCCTTAAGAGTATTGATGGAACATGATAGAACATTCATATTGTCTTGCCCTCTAAAAAAATCAAACTTTAAACAATTTTTTTAAATGGGAACGTCCAGTGCCAAAGTTACTAAATGGGTAAGTCAACAATCCTTGGACTATGTAATGTATTTTATTTGCTGGGTTACGAGTGGATGATTTTAAAGAGGACTCCCCATTCATTAGACAGAGAAGATCACCAAAATTTCGCAATCCGCTGCCAAATTTATTCCAATTCCAAGAGCTTGGATCGAATCAGTATTGATATACCAATTCAATATCAGATATAAAAAAAAGTATCATACTTCAATTTGAATTTTCAATTGAATAGAGAATTGAAATTATGTTTCTGGAGAGCACAATCTATGTTTCCATGAATAGAACATAAAACGACAATAAAACAATAAAAGAGAAGAAAGACAGATATTATAGATATCTCCACATGTGTTTAAGCCATACAAAACTTCTTTTCTTATACACTTCACAATCGTATTTAACTAAAAAAACCTACCAAAACAATCACTCATTCGTAAAACCCTCACCAACAAGACTCCATTAACAAGGAATGAAGCAAAACCCTCAAGAACTCAAATCATTCAACCTCAAGAACGAAATTACGAATAAAAATAACATGATTGACGTGTGGGTGAATGAACCCAACACTATAAGAACTTACATACCTTAAAGAACTAGGTTCTTGGCAAAAGTTTGGATGAACGCTTGGAACTTTGAACTTTTTCTCCTCTTGAACCTGCTCTCTAAAGCCCTAAATGTTTTGGGGATGAATGAAACTGATTCTAATTAGTTTACACCCTGAATTGGGTTTAATTCACCTTAGACTAAGTGGGGGTAAGGAAAAGACTAAAATACCCCTCCTTAGTTCGGGTTAAAAGGCCCTATCTAGAGAGGCTACACTCAAACGGTCATATCTCCCTCATCGAACTCGGATTCAAACAAACTCAGTGGGGTTAGAAAGAGGACTCAAAGATCTTCGATTTGATATCTCATGGGCCACCTCACTCATTATGTGCTAAGGGGTCGTTTGGTGTGAAGGATAACTTCAAATAGTCCTGGGATTAAATTATAGTGCCACTTAATTTGTTGTTTGGTTGGCAAGTATTAGTACCGGGATAAGTTATCCCTTACCATGGGTGGTATAGTAATCCCGGGAAAACTTATCTCGGGATAAAATGACTAAATGACAAAAAATATCCCTTTAAACACTTTTAATACATTACTTTTCACATTCATGAAGGGTATTTTTGTAAACATATATGTTGTTCTTAAGATTTATTATTCTGAATACAACAAACCAAACACTCAATAAAAAAATAATTAGAATAACTTATTCCATCATAACTAATCCCATCATAACTTGAATTCAAACCAAACGACTCCTAAAAGTTAGGGTTGTTTGAAGTAAACCCAAAACATAAAATAACTTATGGATAACTTGAATGAATTTCTCTTCAGTTCTTTTTGGAACTCGAGGTGCTACATCTAGAGACCTTGACACCTAAGAAAATTTATATTCCTCGTTAAATCTTACTCACAACGAAGAATGGTTCGAGTCTTAGCTAAAAATAATTCGGGGTGTTACATGTTTAAATAGCTAAGTGTACATATTCTAAGAAACAAAAGAAAATCAAAATACATAATAAGAACTGTCATTCTCATTTTTTCATTTGAGCAAAAAGAAAATTGAAGAGAGAAGAAGAACAAAGGGAGAAGAAATACCTTAAACTGTAGCAACACTTTTAGAAAATGGAAGATGAAAGAGCTTTGAGTAGATGAAGAGATATTTGGACCCGTGGGAAGTAGAAAGAGAAAGCTAAGTTCTATATTTTGTAGTAAGTATAATGAATAAGCAAATAAAGACACGTGTCATATTTCAGAATAAAGATGTCTCCCAAAATATGAATGAAATTTAATAGCCAATCAAATAGGGCCACAAATAGCAACATATTAAATGCATCACAGTACAATCTAAATAGCTTTTGGTTCAATTCTGTAATGTCTTGTTCGTCCAAGAGGTGTCATTTCTAAATAAGGGATAATATTAAAAAAATAATATAAATATAAATAAATAGAAGTAATGTAAGTAGTAAATCCTACAAGGTTTTCTTACTCTTGCCTCTTTTTCTTCTCTCTAGCCTACAATTAGGCTCTATTGATCGGTTCATAGTTCTCATTCAAAGATGATCATTTTGAGGAGCTTCGACGAAGAGACCTTTGAGGTCGATGAGGCGGTGGCGCTAAAATCGCAGACAATTAAACATATGATAGAGGATGACTACAATAACACCATCATCCCTCTATCCAACGTTACTAGCAAGATCTTAGCCAAGGTCATCGAATACTGCAAACGCCATTTGGAGGTTCCTAAAGCTGAAGATAAGACCCCTAAAGAGGATCTAAAGACTTTCGATGCTGAATTCGTCAAAGTTGATCAGAGCACCCTTTTCAATCTCATACTGGTTTGGATATTTTTAAATCTTTATGTATATCTTTATTAATTCTTATACGTTTCTGATTACGTCGGTGGGATTGTTCAATTATTGGTGTGCTTGATTGTTTATTCTATAATTAATTTATCTAAACAACTAGAAAGAGGCAAAAAGTCAATAACTTTTTTATATTCTAAAATTATAGTCAAATAAAGTATGTGACTCTTATGGAAGTATCATTTAGCAGCTAAGGATGTGGCTTGGTTGTTAATGAAGTGGTTGAGAACCATGAGATAACGGGTTATGATTCCATATGGAGTCAAAAAACACTAGGTGATTCTTCCTCATCTGTCTTAACCTCGTGAAAGAGTCACTTAGTACTTGTTGCTGGTGGGAGGTGGCAACAGACACCACATTCAGAACTGATGAAGTGCTTTTTTGGCTTGACTGTTTTTTTCTTCATTTCTGTTTATTAGTCTATTCAATAAAGATGTCTTCTTGTTGCTAGAACTTTTCAAATTATTAAATCCACTATTTTATTTGTTAGAATGTACAACATACCATATGTAATTTCACAAGTGAGGTTTGGGACCTTACCTCCTACCTTGTGAAGGTAGAGGGGTTGTTTTCCGAAGACCCTCAGCTCTAGTAAAACATATTAAAGCATGAAAAAATAAGTCATTTCAGAAAAAGAAAAGGGTAGTATCAAAACCAAAAAGAATGAGCATATTTATATTTGGAAGTTCTTTAACTTTCCATTTACCTTAGGGACATTCTATTGTAGGGTGAGGCCTAATGGTTGATGAATGGGTTGAGAACCATTTAGTGATAGAGTTACTTAGTCTAATCTATAAAGATGTCTTCTTGTTGGTAGAACTTTGTAAATTATTAAATCCACGATTTTATTTGTTAATATGTACAACATACCATGTGTAATTTCACAAGTGAGGTCTGTGACCTTACCTCATACCGTGTGAAGGTAGATGGGTTGTTTTCCAAAGACCCTCGGCTCTAGTAAAACATATTAAAGCATGAACAAATAAGCCATTTTAGAAAAAGAAAAGAGTAGTATCAAAACCAAAAAGAATGAGCATATTTATATTTGGAAGTTCTTTAATTTCCATTTACCCATAGGGACATTCTCTTGTAGGGTGAGTCCTAGTGGTTGATGAATGGGTTGAGAACCATTTGGTGAGAGAGTTACTTGGTACCTGGTGCTAGTGGGAGATGACATGTATCTCGTGGAATTAGTCGAGGTACCAAGTAACTCTATCACTAAATGGTTCTTAACCCATTCATCAACCATTAGGCCTCACCCTACAAGAGAATGTCCCCAAGGGTAATTGGAAAGTTAAAAAACTTACAAATATATAAAAATGTTCATTCTTTTTGGTTTTGATACTACTCTTTTCTTTTTCTAAAATGGCTTATTTGTTCATGTTTTAATATGTTTTACTAGAGCCGAGGGGTCTTTGGAAAACAACCTCTCTACCTTCTCAAGGTAGGAGGTAAGGTCCCAGACCTCACTTGTGAAATTACATATGGTATGTTGTACATATTAACAAATAAAATAGTGGATTTAATAATATACAAAGTTCTACCAACAAGAAGACATCGTTATAGAATAGACTAATAAAGAAAAGACTGTTGGTATTAATAATATACACAATTACCAACAAGGAACAAATATAAATGAAGAACAAAATAATCAAGCCAAAAAAGCACTTCATCAGTTCTGAATGTGGTGTGTGGGTCAACTTTCATGCACTTCGACTAACTCCACGGGATACCTGCCACCTCCCACCAGCAACAAGTACTAAGTGACTCTGTCACAAGGTTAAGACAGATGAGGAAGAAGCACCTAGTGTTTTTTTGTCTCCATAGGGAATCTTAACCCGATATCAAGGTTCTCAACCACCTCACTAACAACCAAGCCACACCCTTAACTGCTATATGACACTTCCATATGAGTCACATACTTTATTTGACTATAATTTTAGAATATAAAAAAGTTATTGACTTTTTCCTCTTTCTAGTTGTTTAGATAAATTAATTATAGAATAAACAATCAAGCACACCAATAAATGAACAATCCCACCGACGTAATCAGAAACATGTAGGAATCAATTAAGATATACATAAAGATTTAAAAATATCCAAACCAGCATGAGATTGAAAAGTGTGCTCTGATCAGCTTTGACGAATTCAGCATCGAAAGTCTTCAGATCCTCTTTAGCGGTCTTATCTTCAACTTTAGGAACCTCAAAATGGTGCTTGTAGTATTCGATGACCTTGGCTAAGATCTTGCTAGTAACGTTGGGTAGAGGGATGATGGTTTTATCATAGTCATCCTCTATCATATGTTTAATTGTCTGCTATTCTAGCGCCACCGCCTCATCGACCTCAAAGGTCTCTCCGTCGAAGCTCCTTAAAATGATAATCTTTCAAGGAGAATTATGAACCGATCAACAAACCCTAATTGTAGGCTAGACAGAAGAAACAGAGGCAAGAGTAAGAAAACCTTGTAGGATATGCTACTTATATTACTTTTATTTATTTATATTTATGTTAATTCTTTTATATTATCCCTTATTTAGAAATGACAACTTCTTGGATGAACACGACATTACAAAATTAGACCAAAAGCTATTTAGATTGTACTGTGATGCATTTAATATTTTTCTATTTGTGGCCCTATTTGATTGGCTATTAAATTTCATTCATTTTTTGGGAGACATCTTTATTTTGAAATATCACACATGTATTTATTTGCTTATTCATTATACTTACTACAAAAAGAGACCTTAGCTTTCTCTTTCCACTTCCCACAGGTTCAAATATCTCTTCATCTCCTCAAAGCTCTTTCATCTTCCATTTTCTGAAAGTGTTGCTACAGTTTAAGGTATTTCTTCTCCCTTTGTTCTTCTTCACTCTTCATTTTCTTTGTGCTCAAATGATAAAATGAGAATGACAGTTCTTATAATGTATTTTTATTCTCTTTTTTTTTTGTTTCTTAGAATATGTACACTTAGCTATTTAATCATGTAACACCTTGAATATTTTTGAGCTAAGACTCGAACCATTCTTCGTTGTGAGTAAGATTTTACCGAGGAATTTAAATTTTTTTAGGTGTCAAGGTCTCAAGATGTAGCACCTCGACTTCCAAAAAGAATTGAAGAGAAATTCATTCAAGTCATCCATAAGTTCTTTTAAGTTTTTAGTCTACTTCAAACGATCCTAACTTTTAGGAGTCGTTTGGTTTGAATTCAAGTTATGATGGGATTTGTTATGATGGGTTATGTTATGCTAAGATTATTTTTTATTGAGTGTTTGGTTTGTTGTATTCAGAATAATAAATCTTAAGAACAACATATATGTTTACAACAATACCCATCATGAATGTGAAAAGTAATGTATTAAAAGTGTTTAAAGGGATATTTTTGTCATTTAGTCATTCTATCCCGGGATTACTATACCACCCATGGTAAGGGATAACTTATCCCGGTACTAATTATTAATCCCGGAATACGTTATCCTAGACTTACCAACCAAACAACAAATTAAGTGGCACTATAATTTAATCCCAGGACTATTTGAAGTTTTCGTTCACACCAAACAGCCGCTCAGCACATAATGAGTTAGGTGGCCCATGAGATATCAAATTAAAGATCTTTGAGTCTTTTTTCTAACCCCACCGAGTTTGCTAAAATCTGAGATCGGATGATGGAGATATGACAGTTTCAGTATAGCCTCTCTAGATAGGGCCTTTTTTACCCGAACTAAGGAGGGGTATTAGTCATTTCCTTACCCCCACTTAGTCTAAGGTAAATTACACCTATTTTAGGGTGTAAACTGATTAGAATAAGTTTCATTCATCCCCAAAACGTTTAGGGCTTTAGAGAGGAGGTTCAAGAGGAGAAAAAGTTCAAGGTTACAAGCGTTCATCCAAGATTTTTCAAAGAACCTAGTTCTTTAAGGTATGTAAGTTATCATAGTGTTGGGTTCGTTCACCCACATGTTAATCATGTTATAGTTATCCGTAATTTCGTTCTTGAGGTTGAATGATTTCAGTTCTTGAGGTTTTAGCTTCATTCCTTGTTAATGGAGTCTTGTTGAGTTCTGAGTTGAGGGTTTTGCAAATGATTGATTGTTTTTGTAGCTTTTTTTTAGAAAAATACCATTGTGAAGTGTATTAAAAAAGAAGTTTGTATGGCTTAAACACATGTGGAGATATCTATAATATTTGGCTTTCTTATCTTTTATTGTTGTATTGTCGTTTTATGTTCTATTCAGGGCAACATAGGTTGTGCTCTCCGAAAACATAATTTCAATTTTCTATTCAATTCAAGATTCAAATTGAAGTATGATACTTTTCTGATACCTGAGATTCAACATAAGTTCTTTTTGTAACTCGAGGTGCTACATCTAGAGAGATTGACACCAAAGAAAATTTTAATTTCTCGGTAAAATCTTACTCACAACGAAGATTGGTTCCAGTCTTAGCTCAAAATTTTTTGGGGTGTTACAGGTTTAAATAGCTAAGTGTACATTTTCTAAGAAACAAAAAAAGAGAATCAAAATACATAATAAGAACTGTCATTCTCATTTTATCATTTGAGCACAAAGAAAATTGAAGAGAGAAGAAGAACAAAGGGAGAAAAAATACCTTAAACCGCAGCAACACTTTCAGAAAATGGAAGATGAAAGAGCTTTGAGTAGATGAAGAGATATTTGAACCTGTGGGAAGTTGAAAGAGAAAGCTAAGGTCTATATTTTGTAGTAAGTATAATGAATAAGCAAATAAAGACATGTGTGATATTTCAAAATAAAGATGTCTCCCAAAATATGCATGAAATTTAATAGTTCAAATAGGGCCACAAATAGCAAAATATTAAATGCATCACAGTACAATCTAAATAACTTTTGGTCCAATTCTGTAATGTCGTGTTCGTCCAAGAAGCTGTCATTTCTAAATATGGGATAATATTAGAGAATTAATAAAAATATAAATAAATAAAAGTAATATAAGTAGCAATCCTACAAGGTTTTCTTACTCTTGCCTCCTTTTCTTTTCTCTAGCCTACAATTAGGGTTTGTTGATCGGTTCATAATTCTCCGTCAAAGATGATCATTTTGAGTAGCTTCGACTGAGGCACCTTTGAGTTCGATGAGGCGGTGGGGTTAGAATCGCAGACAATTAAACATATGATAGAGGATGACTACGCTAACACCATCATCCCTCTACCCAACGTTACTAGCAAGATCTTAACCAAGGTCATCGAATACAGCAAGCACCATGTGGAGGTTCTTAAAGCTAAAGATAAGACCGCCAAAGAGGATCTAAAGACTTTCGATGCTGAATTCGTCAAAGTTGATCAGAGCACCCTTTTCAATCTCATGCTGGTTTGGATCTTTTTAAATCTTTATCTATATCTTAATTGATTCCTATATGATTCTGATTACGTCGGTGGGATTGTTAAATTATTGG